AATGCATATTTATTGTTCTTCTGTGAGATTGTGAGATTGTGCACAGGGCTGTCCCTATTCGAAAATCACCACCCCACTCGCAGGCCTGGAATGGAATCACTGGCAGATATTTCTCTTCTTCTTCTCTTCCTTTCTTTTTTTTCTTCTTTGCTGTTCTGCATTCGTTCGATGTCACTTCGTCGCCAGCTTTTGCCCTGGCGTTGTGCCACGAAAACGCCACCACGACTGCAACCCACCACAGCTGCAACGGCATGTCATATGATTTGCAGACCTCTACGTAGATTGAAGAAGCATTGTTGGAGAGAGTTAGAAAAGAGTTTTTGCGCGCACAAATAGAAAAGGGTTATTTCTGCTCCATCGTAGATCTTGGCCGTATTATTTATGTACTTCATTTCGGGAAGGCCGAAGGGCTTATTTTGGCTTTGGCAATGGTTGCGCCCAACCACAGAGCCCCGGGCCCTTGCCCTATCTTGAAATCGCCAACCACGAAATGGTTGGATGTCCAATCCCTCTTCCGTTATTTGCAGCTGATGGGTGCATTTCCTTGATCCGGGAATTGAGTGCCATATGCGGACAGCTGCCCCGAGGCAGGGGGATGCTGAGTCTTCAATGATTTTTTTTTTTCTTTTGCCTCGAATACGAGACCTCCAGAATACCTTATCAGGAAAAGGGGGGGGGGGGAGGGGAAGGACATTTTCTAGATGTCCCGTGCCTTGCCACTGATATGTTTTGAATAATTATCGATAGAGGATGGTGAGAATGCAATGCCGGAGTTCATATGCTGCCAAATGGGCTTTGGGGGATGTCACATCAGCGGCTGGTTTTGAAACTTCGGGAAGGACTTTATACAACAAAACCAACGGTCATGGATATTAGTTCGACGTGCAGGAACTCCTACATGAAAGTTGGTTCGGCCGTGGGGTGCAGCAGCAAGCATCCATGGAACCTTTGCTTTGGAACCCGAAGGTTAGCCCCACACTCCGATTGCCACGGGGGGGAAAGAAGCCAGAAAAGATGAGAAAGGTATCGCCTCTCATTAGCCAGGCTGGCCGTGCCTAAACGAGTGACAACTGACTAGCAGGCGCTCCTCACCACACAACCTCCGCCTTAAGTATATTGGAAGAGAGCCGAGTTCCAGGGTTTAACAGGGGCGAACCGACGCCTTTCTTGCTGCAGTACGGAGCACATTCCCCATATTCCCATTTCCTACGCAGAAACCACAAGCTATGGGCGCTCTGGAAGGCGTGAGATATTTTGCCACCTAGTAGTAATTACAACTACTCCCGCCGTGTTGCCCTTAACTTGATAACAATTTCTTGTGGTGGAAGGGCAAACCTCTTCTCCCGCTCTCATCCGCGTTCTCACTGCGTACTCCTCACCTTCACCCTCATCTTCAATATGCTCGCTCTTTCGAACTCTTGTACTTCTCATGGGAATCCCCGCCAGGTGCCCAGGAAACTAAATTGCTTTAACTCCGCCTTTGGATCCCAGCTCTGGAACTGCTGCCACTAGCGTGTCTTGTCCTTGTCCCTCCCTGCAGTTTCGCTGCAATCTAACCCGCCTCACCGCGGTGCATACTTGTCAATCAGAGCTGGAAGAGAGTGGGAAAGAAAAAAAAATCCCCAAGACAGCATGTGATGGTCTCTTTATGTCCCTCCCCATAGCTCTGTCTAGAATATACCACTAAAATTGCCACTTTTGGCTGTTGTGCGCCCTCAACAAGTACCGAGATCTGATTGATCGTTTAGCGCACTTTTCAGCGTGCTCTTTGCGGTTTATTTTCGACCGTGGGACCTTTCTTCATGCCTGGCCCTAGGGGTTGGTTATATCTGACTGTTGCTCGGTTGATTCCCCCCGTGTAATTTCCCTTCCCTTCCCCCCCCCCCCCCCCCCAAATCCCAATCCCAATCCCAATCCCAATCCCAACTTCTCCGCTGTTCGCCATTCATATTTAGTTGCCCGCATACCCCATCTTCCCCTTCATATGCAATCTCTCCGTCCTTTCCGGTCGTCTATCTCGTTTCCCTCCCTCTCTCCCGTGGTGGTAGTGTGGTTTATCAATTGTTTGATCGTGAGTTTTATTCATTCCTTCCATCTTGTTGCTATTCTCCTTTTATATAGTTAGTTCATTTACTTTTTATTTTCCTTTTTTTGGTGGCGCCCTATTTCCGCCCCTGGGAACATCCTCGTAGTTCTACACGCATTGCTGTCAACTCAATTAGTTACAGTCCTCTGTCCTCTGTCCTCTGCTGCAGTGAAATAAGCTGCGCGATCCTGTCGTGATCCGACCCCCATTATTTATTTATTTATTTTCTTATGCACCATGTAATGCACATGTGTCGAACGTGACACCCGTCATTCTACACTCCTTCTCCACAACCATGGGCACATGCAAATTGAAAATGAAGAAACTGAACATACTAGTGCCACCTATTCAACAGAGAATAATCGCCAATTCGTTTTTAATAGCGGCATCCAGCCCCTCCCTCCATCCCCTAAGTAACTATCCCGAAAATGTCGGACAAGGTTGAGGCCGGCCCCGTCGAGCGAGAGTTCACCAAACCTAGCTTTGGCGCCAGACTGAAAGCCAATTTCAAAAAATGGTGGTGGCTCTACCTGGCTATCTTCATCGTCGTCGTCCTTGTTATCCTGCTGCCAGTGTAAGTGGTATTCAATTATGTATACATGTTAAAAATCCGTTGTGGATCAAAATGTTCAGGAGAGCAAAGCTCCGCAAACCACAAAACCACGACTAACATCTACTTCTACAAACAAATAGCATCTTTGTCGGGTACCCGAGAATAGCCCAGAAAGATGTAAACAAGTCAACCCTCACCATTAACTCTATGGAAATCACCAATCCGGCCCCAGAGTCTTTCAATATCAAGGTTGACCAGACCATCGGCTCCAAGTCCAAATATCACCCCACCCTCGACGCCTTCAATGCCACCGTCGGCATTGCTAAGAGCAACAAGCCGTTCTTCGTCCTTGCTGTCCCCTCCGTCAAGGCTGTCGATGGCGCAAAGAGCATGATTGACCAGCGCGTCCAGCTGGCTGATGTCCAACAATTCATCGACTATTCTATTGCAGTCATGAAGTCGGAGTTTCTTGACCTTGAAATTGATGGCCGGACTGGGTTGAAGGAAGGTGCTCTTCCGAAAACGACGGTGGATTATAATAAAGTCATTACCATGAAGGGTATGTTCTAGACGTTCCCCCCTTTTCTTTTCTTTTCTTTTCTTTGCACTTCTTAATATGCCATATATATTCTGACACCACTTGTAGGCCTCAATGGGCTCAAGGGATTCAACGTAACCGACTTCAAACTCGTTCCCAAAGAAGGTGACGGCACCAACATGCTTGGTGAAGTCTTCATTCCCAACCCCAGCGTCCTAACCCTCACCTTGGTAAATTCTACCTCCCACCCTTTATTTATTTATTTATTTATTTATTTTTTTGGTTTCCAAACCTGATGCCAAAATGGAGCAACAGGCAAAAAAAATATCAAGGAAAACATCATACTAACAAACAAAAAACTAGGGCGACGTCACCCTCAACCTCTCCGTCGACGGCAAAGATATCGGCACCTCCACGCTGCCCAACCTCGTCATTAAACCAGGCAACAACACTGTCAAAATGCGATCGGCCGTCGACGTCGCCAAGGTCTTCCCATTCGTCAGCGGCAAGGATGCCAAGTACAAAAACGGCGTTATCCCCGTTAGCATTGTTGGTAAGTCCGCTGTGTATAATGGGAAGGAGTTGCCGTATTTCACCAAGGCCTTGGAGTCAAATGTGCTGCATATTCAGTTGAATTTGGGTCCGTTGTTGGGGTTGAAGGGCTAGGGGTGAGGTTGAGATTAAGTTGATGGCGATTTGTGGTGCGATATCTTAATACCCCCTTTTTCACACACTCAAACACACACACCCTCTCTCTGTTTTCCGTTTTCAAGAGTGGAGGTTTTGTGTATTTTTCTTGTGGATCTGTATATTTGTTTTCCTCTTGTTTTTTTTTTCTCTCTTCCATATATATATATGTCCCCGATATATATATTCTCTCCTATACCTGGAATGATACCTCATATACCCTCTGATACGGTTATGGTTTTTTATGCATGGTTGTCACTCGTGTCGGCTGTTTGATGCGGTGTGAGAGAGCGGTTTCACTTAATGTACTGCTAAAAAGAATGCTTGTCGTCGTTTTATCTATGGTGAGATTCTAAGTGTATATACGGGTATGAAGTTATAGACATACGAGGTCTATACCTGTCTAATTGACGTCCACTTTTCTTCGTTATATATACACCTGGATGCAGCGCCTTTTCCTCCTGTATTGAGACATGAAGCAGAGAAATGAGGGGTCAAGACGTAAATAAACGAAAAAGGGGTTAAGTGTAGGAAACCTCGGGAAGAAAGTTGTCAGCGATGAAACTGCCTTCATATCCTCTTCAATATCTCTGCTTACTTAGTTTCCTGCTGTTATTGAATGTAGCCGAGTAACTTTAGCAACTGGTAGAAATCTCAATTACCACCGAGTTCACTGGCTTCGTTTTTCATGGCTGTTTGCAATCTTCACCAATTTCATTTGCCTCTAGACGGTTTACAGTAAGATGATGGGAACACCAAAAACGTCCCAGACACTCTCAGAATGGTTCTATGTGAAAGATGAAAATAATATATCCCCTCTCTGCCCCTTCCTATATATGAATCCTAATTAGATTGCCTAAAAACACTAAAACTCAAAACATGATCAGCCCCCCGTTTGCCATCCCCAGCAACACAACCTCTGCGCCACCACCACGGCCCTTGTAACAATATGAGGAGTAAAAAAAAAATAACTATACCGTGAAAATACGGGAAGGAGTTTCTGTCAATGAAAAAATAACACATAAGAGCCAGAATGAGAAAGACAGCAGCATATAGAGAGGCCGTGGAAGAGGGGGGAGAGAGTGAGAAGAGTCAGGTGGCATTATAACCACCCAGCGCCTCCTCAATGCCCTTCTCTAAAACTCATGTAATTCGGTATAACCAGCAGCTACCAAGCTCCTCTCCCCCAGTGCATCCGCCCCAATATCCCAATAGAAAAGCCCTCCAAGCCCCTTCTGCTTCGCATACCTCGCCTTACACTGCACCGACTTCGTCGAGTCATACGAAATGAACCCAGCCGCTCCATCCCCCTCATCAATCCAATCAACACAATACGCCGCCCCAAGAGCATCATCGTGCATCTCAGGCCCGCCCTGTGGCAGATGACAGTAATCAATCACCATTTCCTCCAGTTCAGTTCCCCCCGGACCCTCATAGGGCTGGTTGATCCCGTTCGTCCCCGGGAACGCGTGCCCGTATACTGGTATGCCCAGGAGGATTTTGTACGCCGGCACGCCTTGGCCCATCACGTAGGAGACGCCGGAGTCAGCGGAGATTATGCATGCGTCTTGGTTGTAGGGGTTTGTCTGCTGGGTGAATAGTTGGGCGTGGTGGCCGCTTTGGCGCATCCAGTGGCCGGCGAAGTCAAAGGCCATTAGGTTTATGTAGTCAACGTACTGGTGGATAAAGGTAAGGTTTATGTTTTGCAGAGCCCATTGTGCGCCGGCCATGGTGGTGGTGAGGAGGTAGTCTGGCGAGGGAAATTGTTCGCGGAGGCGGGCGAGGAGGCAGAAGTAGTCTGCGGCTTCTTGAGGGGTTTCTGGGTGTTCCCAGTTTACTGCGGGAGGAGAGAGGGGAGAATACCCGGAACCCCTTCAGTTAGAATATGCGTCTGCGGATATGCAAGGGAAACGCGGGGCGGGAAGTGTATTTGCGTACCGTCAAAACCATCGAGTCTAAATTTAATGGCTAGATCTGTGGTGGTTTCTACGAATTTTTCTACACTTAATGCATTCCTTGCGACACAGGCAAAATTCTGGCTGCCTTCGCCCCCGCCTCCAATTGAAAGGAGGATTTTCATTTCCGGGAATTGCCACTTGAGCTGGATGAATGAGTTGAGACATCCGTAAGTACCATCCACTGGGATTTGTTCATCGGCGTATTCATCGCTGAGCTGGGGTAAAATGTTAGTTGTATACAAGTATGAGGGATGGGGAAAATGTAAGGGTGGGTCTAACATAGACGGTTCCATCCTCTTTCACCCTGTCAGCTCAACCAACTAGTAAGTCATCTTTCCTGGGCTTTTAACTCGAAATCTTGCAATAATAGGATATATAGCAGAGAAGGGCAGTGGGGGAAATTTGGGGTCTTCTTCTCCTATCATACCAAGCGAAGGCGTAGAATACGTGGGAAACATAGCCTAGACTCAACGATGAGGGAGGTTTCCCGTCATATATCCGCCAGTTAGGGTAGTAAACCGCATTTACGTAAATCGGAAGGTAAGTAGATAATTGAAAATAATTCGGCTCAAAGAATTCACCGGAATCTACTTCGCCGGATTCTGGGTTCAAAGAAATGAGAGGTGGGGGAAACGCGCTTGATGGATACATCAGGGCGTCCAACAGAGCAGCAAGGCACTTTGAAAACCACCACTAAATGGCTAGCCTCTCCGGGATAGCAAAAGGCTCGAACAGCAAGACAGCAGAGAAACCTAGAGAATACGAAGAATTGTTCTTGAAATCTGCAGACTAAGCCCAAATGTTTGATATTGGAGATTTGCGGTGGGCGATCACGTGTGGTGGTATAGCGCAGCTAGGTATGTGCCCGAACCAATGCATTTTTTTTTTATTTTATTTTGAGAAACAGAGTGTGAGAGAAACAGAAAGAGAAGCAAAGGGAGAAAGGAAGAGTGAGGATTCATTCTCAAGATTGGAGGGAATGAAATGAGGATAAAAGAGAAAAAGGGTTCAAAGAGCGAAACAGTTCACTCTCACGCCGTGCAAAGCCTCGCAGTGATACAATGAAGACAGTAAACTTCACACAGGCTGCTCAATGGGCTCTATCCCGCAATATGAATTGCCTCTATTGGCTTCCCGGCTACTCGAGTCCGGAATTACTTATAGACAGTGGTTATCTGCTGTATCGGGATATTATTTTGGCATTAATTAGCACCTGAGGAATTCTTTTGCGTTCTTGTAAAACAAGGTTCCCCTTTTTTTTCTTTCATCGCTGGGTATACATGTCCTCACTCCTGGGTGAACCGATTCATCTATGCAGATACGAGGAGTGCAGCTCCCCGCAGGAGAGCTCTCGAGACCTGGGGTCCACTCTCGGTATAATAGTGCTCACTTTTGGACGCCTGCGTGGTAATAAAAGGGCGAGATCCTGGTTTCGGGACATCTTCCACTTAAATGGATTTTGTTCAGCGCAAATAGTCATGCCCCGAGTTCCTGAAGGAACATCCATTTAATATGCATGGTAGCTTGGGTGTGTACTGTATGCTAGATGACATGCACTCTGGCGGTATTATGTCCGCCGCAGAGACGAGAACTAATGCTCCAGCTGGGAGTTGGGCTACAGGATTGAATTGACGAAGGCGAGAGTTATAATGACACAGAAGAATGCGGTGAACCATGGCAATGAACTTGGGGGGCCTGCTTATTCCTTCTCGGTAAGTTATGGCTTTCACGTCCGTAGCAAGCTCATTCTCTTTTCATGAATTTGTCAGATGGGGAGGGTTCAAACGCTAGGGAGAGATGACCGTTTCAACAGCAAATTCCGGCGTGTATTCATGACCGGGGACTCCAACAGGAGTAGCTGGGGTGGATATATGACTATCCCTGAATATGGAGTCTGATCTTGGGTTTCGTTTCGAAGTCGTTCTCGGGAAAGTTGGGGTAGGAATTATCCTCACTGCATTAGTGACGGTCTTCAGGACTTCGCATCATATACCGTATTTTCAAAGAGATGAATGAGTGCATCTTGAAGAGTAGGTAGGTTCGATTACTGCTGGCCTATGAATAGCTTGCGGATATAGGTTGCACAATATCAATAGTGATCAACATAGAACATATGAAAGTGTCCACGCCATCACGATGGTGGCCTTTACTCAGTCAGTTTCTTCAGATGATACATTCTTTCCCACCTTGGCTTTGTTCAATGAACTCCCAGGCGGCGGAGGACGCCATGTAACTATCTTTGATCAATATCGTCATGATCTTATTGCAACCGTGTTCACCGCAACCACAAATCCAAATGACCGGAGGGGCGGGGGGCGGGGGGCGTGCAACAGCACGCCATCAGAGAGGAAGCGCTCGGGTTGAGATCGTTGACGAAGTTATGGCGTGTTCCGGACGAACAATAATCAAGAGTTACCTAGAAGCCAAAATAGTGATATCATTCAAATAGATTGCATCTTTTCCATTAGATTGATACTGAAATCAAGAGTATTTTCAACCTCGATGACTTGAAGACACCCCAGAGTGTGAAAATTGGGGTATTCGGCATCACCATTAGAGCCCTTTGGTATTATCCCGTTGCCTAGCGCTTTTGTTGGGTTGGCTTCATCTCAGTATGCCTCCGTTGATCTGTCATTATCTGCTAGCAAAGGTATCTGCATAGAGCATCGAGACGCTCTAACTTTCCATGCGGTCAAGGATGCCATGGGGTATCATAGTTCGAGCAGCAGCAAATGAGCTGCTTCGAATCGCTAAATGCAGAGAGCTGGTATTCATTTCGAGTGTCAGTTGAAGCCCGCGGGAGAATATATGCAGCAAAATGTCCTTCTAAGATTTTGCGCAGAAGAATGAAAATCCAACGAGGAGCACAACTAATGATGAACGGGTAACCAATTAATGGTTGTGAAGGCCAGCCAGAGAGGAAGTATTTAGGTGATTCATAGTGTGGCTGGGGTGCTCAAAGTGCTCTAAGTTTTGGGGTTGGTGGCGCATTCTGCTGGGTGAACTTTAGGAGCTCTGCCAAACTCACATTGAACCACCAATGACTTTACATCACTCTTTTGTGACGACTATCTTGTCAGGATAACAACACCACTGGTATCACTATTTTTACCCATATTGGTTTGATAATCTATAACACATCGTCTCCATTTTTGTCCCTGGTGGTCTTATTCAAAGCGTCATCTCTGTCCCTGCAGGTGTTTCACCGCAGCTCAGCATTGTTGCGTTCACCTCCCGTTGTTCGCCCAACCACGATTAATCGACTTTGTGCCTAGAGAGAATAGAACGAAATAACGCTGCGTGGGCTTGTGTTCTTGGTCTCTATCCTCTCGTTGAGTCACATATTTCCCTCCCGATTATAAGGAAAGCAGAATCAACCCGCCATGTCTGTCGGCGTACGAGCCGTCGCGGATCGTATTGTCTCGCCAGACGCTCCCCGTGATCCCAGCTTCAACTTCTCCTTCAGTCCGTTCCTCACAAAAACCTTCAGTTTTGGTCTCGCTTCAGACGTGCCTGTATGCAAAGCCTATCGAGAAGGCCACTGCCCTCTAGGCCCAACATGTCCGGACAGACACCCTACCCCGTCTCGGATCTCCTCCGCCACATCCCCCGCAATCCCTGCCTCCACCCATGGCACCCTCGTCTGCAAACACTTCCTCAAAGGTCTATGCAAAAAGGGCATCAAGTGCGAGTATCTACATGAGTATAATCTACGACGAATGCCCGAGTGCCAGAATTTCGCTCGCACCGGATACTGCCCCAATGGTGATGAATGTCTCTATCAACACGTCCCCGAGGAGGCCAAGGTACCACCTTGCGAACACTACGAGAGGGGATTCTGTGAGCTAGGCCCACTGTGTGCGAAGAAACATGTGCGCAAGAAGCTATGCCGGTTTTATCTGGCTGGATTTTGCCCCGAGGGCCGCGCCTGTCTTGAAGGTTCACATCCCCGGTGGCTTGATAATTTGCCAAAGCCAATGATCAAGGTGGCGAAGACGGAGGCGGATTTGGAACGGGAGAGAGCGAGGATAAGGGAGGAGCAGGAGAAGGAGGAAGAGAGGGAGAGGGAATGGAGGAGGGAGAATCGTGGTCGTGATGGTCGGTTTGGCAGAGGGCGGTATAGAGGGAAGAGATGATTTGGGAGTTTTGCCCCCCCCTATTTCCCCTTTGAGCACACGGAGCTTCTTCTTTCAATGTTGGATTCGCGGTTTCTATCCTCTTTTTGTCACCCTTGTTGCTTCATGTTTGCATGGATGGAGTTACTTTTCAAGGGCCATCTTCGAGTCATTTTGTTCTGGATTGTGGCGGCGTTGCATCTATTACTCATAGCTTAGATTATTCCAATACAGAGAAATCTAAGGGTACATCAAATCCCCTTGACCTGAAGGTCTATAAGGAGTTTTCCTCGTAGGCTAACTGGATCTATGGTGCATCCTTATCAGAGACTTTCTGAGTGCAGGATTTGGAAAAGTGGGATTCTGTGAATATGATACTGTATTGAAGTGTTCTACATTCATCTCAAGCCATAGATGTTAACTGCTTGGATTTAAGATGCCTCAGCAGTTCGAGTTCTAACATAAGGGTTTTTGGTATGAAGGACAGCCGATGCTCGAACTATGGAGTATTTCCGGATAAATAAGATCCCGACAAAGATGGGAACCGCACGGGCCATCATGTCAACTGTCCAACCTCGAACTTTTGGCTTCAGCTCACCTCAACCTTGGGAATCATCAATTCAGAGAGCACAATTGGATTTGAACATTGCAGCGCACGTGTGAAATCATCAGCTATCTTCTTCTACCGAATCCATGCAACAAAAACGTTTTTAACCCCCATCTTCTCTCCAGGGTACTAATCTCATGCCAGCACAAACCCTTCATAGTCGTTCTGAGCGCAGGTGTGGCAACTCTTCCAGTATCGAGGGACCCCCCCCAAATAGTTCAACGACTCTCGCGGCTTTCCGGGAATGTTGTCTCCCATATACCACTATTTAAAATGTTTAGCCTAAAGCAAGTTCTTTGGTTGGGTGGGTTCGGAGACGGGTTCTATATGAATAAGGGGATCGATATGGGGCAGACCTCCGGAATGAATGAACTTACCGATTTGGTAGTGGGGAGCAAACTGGCATATGCGAAATTGTGAACATCCTTTTTCCAGGCTTCCTCTGCATCCCTCGTCGCCTCAACCGTCGAAATGTTCTTCTCACGCATATAATTCATGCAGTTGGCGATCCAATCGCCTTGCAGCTCCGCGCAGGTTGGGCCATTGCAGAAAGCCGTGGGAGCCTGAGGCCCGTAGGTGAAGAACATGTTTGGGAATCCGGAAACGCTCATGCCCAAATACGTGAGAGAGCCATCGGCCCATTTCTCGGAGAGGGACACACCAGATGGCCCACGGATGTCAATTTGCTTCATTCCACCCGTATGGGTATCGAAGCCAGTTGCAAGGATCAGCAGGTCAGCTTCGACCTCTTTTTCCGTGGTTTTAACCCCCTTAGAGGTGACCTCGACGATTGGATGGCTACTTATATCCAGCACATCGACGTTGTCTTGGTTGAATACCTCGAAATAGTCCTGCTCCAATGAGATGCGCTTGCATCCAAATGCGTGGGGCTGGACCATGGGGGCAAGGATGTCCCGCTTCCTGGGATCCTTGATTCGCTGGCGGGTCTTCTCCCTCCAGAAGTTGTAGGCTTCTTCATTGGGTTCTTTGACGAAAAGCATGTCCCGGTATGTTGAGAGCCAGAAGCTAAAGTCTCCTTTCTTCCAGAGCTCTTCATAGGTCTCAAGACGCTTTTCTGGAGAATCATCAAATGTGTTCTTTCCTAGGAAGTCCCATGTGAACCCTGCAAATGTGGTCGGTCGCTTTTTGAAGATTTCTGGGTACTTTTCCCGAGGATCCTTCTGCTCTCCGTCGGTGTAATATTCCTGTCCCATTGGTAGAGCGAGGTTCGGAGTTCGCTGTAGCACAGTGAGTTCTTTCGCCACTTTTGCAGCCTCCTGGGTAATCTGCACGCCAGTCGAACCAGTTCCGAGAACTATAACCCGCTTGCCGGTCATGTTAAGCCCGTCTTGGGGCCAAAATGAGGAATGGAGCCATTGACCCTGAAAGGTATCCAGTCCTTTAAGGTCCGGTGTGTATCGCTTTGCCGCAAAACCAGTATTGAGCAAGAGGTACTTGACTTTGAAGTGCTGGGAGTCCTGAGCTGTAACATGCCACTTTTTATCGTCGTTATTAAAGATGGCGGAGGTGACCGTCGTGTTGAAGAGGCAGTCTTTGCGAAGATCGAGCTTTTTGTCCACGTGTGCAAAGTATTTACGAATTTCAGGCCCTCCAGGGAAACGTTCGGACCAGGTCCAGTCCTTCCACAGCTCAGGCATTGAGAACTCATAGTGTGGGATATCGGAGTCCACTCTTGCTCCCGGATAGCAATTCCAGTACCAGACACCTCCAAAGTCAAACGCTGAGTCAACGAGTTTGGTCTTATATCCCTCATTTCTCAGCTTCCAGAGCTGATAAACTCCACCAAAGCCTGCTCCTACAATAAGAGCGTCGAGTTCGGTCATATTGTTTGATATGTTTTGCGGACCGTAATGGAGGGGGGATGTATCGTTTTGTTGAGAAGATTTCCCACTTTGAAAGGGAATCGTGTTGTCGACAATGAATTGAGGGGGATTACTTGGTATATATTTGCAAGTAATGGACAACGTCTCCTAACAAAAGGCATGGAAAATTGGACCCTGGCAGCTGAAACATGCGAGCCGCGTATTGCGTTAAGATGGCTGATCAGGCCTGGTTGGGTGGGAGACTTAGCGGTAAACTAATTGTCCTCTCTGTTGCCACGTTCTTTTGAATGGTTTCCTTGAAAATATAGTTTCATTGGAAGCCATTTAGCTTCACCGTCCAAGTTGTGATTATTAGTTTGAGCTAATCGTCCACAATCTACATAGGTTTGTTTGAACAGAGATGATAGTAGATCTCCCTCATTTTATAATCTCCCACGCGCATTTGAATACGACGCCGTCCAGCTCCCGAACTTAATTTGAATTTGACCTTATTTGCTAACTCTTCTTTTCATATTTGCTAAAGGTGGTCATTGTTATGATGCCATAAACTTATCAGGGTGATTATTTTCAATTCTTTCGCTTTACAAGTACTGCTTACATTCATGGAATCAAACAATGCAGGTCAATGCGTGATGCTTTTGTGTTTCAATAATAAAACACCCGAAGCTGCACGGGAAATCAGCGAACAGACCATGCAATGTAGTCTCCAACTTATGTTTGGCACCCATACTAGCATGAAAAATACCATCAGTGTCAACAGTTTCAAGACTGAGCCGGTAAAAGCCCAGTTGAGCTCTGGAGAATGAGCGCGGGAATTAATCTGACAAGCAACTTCCAATTATTTGGAATTGATAGGTCGTCGGACATAACTGTTGCAGAATGGCGATTGAAACCCGACAGACAGCGCTGCTAAAGTTGACTGGACTGTTGCGGGACAACGCTAGGCTAGTGAGAGGCTAGAGGCGCTATGGCCGTTTGAGATGCGTCTAAGCTTCTGCTTTTTGAACTGCCTTCTCTTGCTAACTTGGGCCGCGAATTGGGTCACTTCGACTTTTGGGTTGCTGAAACTGCGGCAGGAGCGGGATTCCGGAACCGTTGAGCCTTGGCAGCGACAGTCATTGGAATTTGCCAAGCTTAGATGCCATTTGTCCCCATCTCATCCCTCATCGTCTGTCATCGACTCATCGTCAGAAGCGGAGATAAGCTTGGTCATATCAACGTTTGTTGAAACTCACCAACGTCCATGCTTTATTGAAGTGATTCATGATCATCAACCCCAGGGGAGACATTGATCTCAGCACTCTTTCTGGTATGTTGCTATTCTATCGTTAAGGGAACGAGTTGGTATATTGTCAGTCCAATGAGGCAGCATTCGTCTGGCCCGATCGCATCATCCCTTGAGGATTGCTTTTGGCATCCACGTATTGACGAGGGTTAGCTATTATTACTTAGACCATTTGACGAGAAGCCTGTAACCCCGCATGGTTTTATTTCGGAACATCACAAGGCTCCATATTCTAACGGCCTTTAGTTTGGTGGGAGCATTTTCCTTGCTATACCACGATGGGCATTCTGTGCACGCGGGATACTTCCCTGCAACATGGAACCGCTTGTCAAATAGCAACGTTTCACACGGCTTAAAAATTTTTTTGGATTCAATCAGCGTTAGCGGAATCAATCCCCTGTTCCGAAGCTGGAATCTTTATACAACCAAAAGGCGGAGAATGGCATCCAGATCCCTGACAATCCCAGCATCAATGATTAGACACTCCCCAAGAAACAAATTTTGCAGTCTTTCCCAGGACGTGATGAGCTTGTTTTGACTTGGGTCGAGGCCACATTCTCTGCCGCCTCAAAAACCAATGATCTGGGTCGCTCAGTTTCTTGAGAAGTTTTATTTGCTATCAACCAATAGCAACCTCTTTCCTTGTCTTGATCGAAGCTTTGGGGTAAAGATCATCAGGAAAGAAATCAATGACCCCTGCAAACTCTTGTTGACAGAACTCTGTTCTCTGTTTCGGCAGCTAGACCTTTAACTGTCTAGACAAAAATAGCTTTTGGGCCAGTCAATACGATGTAGATGTTGGACTTTCGATTCACATCGCTTCCCTTTGCTTTTTGGTAATCTAGCAAAAGGGAGAATCCTGCATGAAACATTTTTTATTGCTTCATCGCTCTTAGTGGCCTGGGATGAAGAATTTTAAATATCTGCTGAAAGATCACCTTCACTTCATTCAATCCTTGACATCTTTCATTTTTTTACCATTATTTTACGAAAGCTTTTCTTTTCCATTCAATGTTTATACAATATTATATAACAGAACAATTTCACTGTTCTCTAGATTGATTGATCTTTAGATATTTGTCCTCATTATGGGAAATGCCCCGAGTGCCCTGATCGAAACATGGGCCGAATTCTCTATCGGCTCCTGCATTATTATCCTGCGTGTGTTCACCAGATTGAAACTGGCCGGCTTCCGTGGTTTACAGGCAGATGACTACTTAATCATTCCTGCCTGGGTCAGTAATTCTCGAAACTTCAAAGTATGGCCTTATAGATTGGTCCGCTGACACATCTCCAATAGTTCTCCTACGCAGCAATGACAGCAATGGCCCATATCGTAGGGTATGCTGGAGACACAGGCAATATACCTGCTGCTCAGCGGGCTTCGATGTCAGATGAGGAGAGAGCGCTTCGATCACTTGGCTCAAAATGCTTCATGGTCGGTTGGTATACGTACATTGGCCTAATCTGGACTTTGAAATTGAATATGCTCTTCTTTTACAAACGTGTGGTCAATGGTCTGTGGGTTGAAAAGTATATCTTTCCTGCCCAACTCCTCGTGGGAGCCACAGGCGTATCAATAATGTTCTTACTTGGACTCACATGTCGACCTTTCCACAAACTTTTTCAAGTTTACCCAGACCCTGGTCGTAAGTTGTCCCTATACCCAGCACCGAGAGCAACAGCACGACTAATCGTACTTGGCATCTAAGCGCTCTGCACACCTCAAAGCCTGGCATTTTTAATCCCTATTCTTCTAATGAACATATCAACGGACTTGATGATCATGGCCATCCCCTTACCGGTAAGGCACCCAACTTGACCTGGCCTCCTGAGAACAATTGCTTTGAGTACTGATTTCTTCTCTTGTCGGCTTCAGGTTCTCGCTAAAATGCGTGTTTCAACCGGTCGAAGACTCGGCATTTTCGTTCTCTTCGGGGCAGTTATCTTTATCATGATTGCTGCCTGCCTTCGTGTCTACTTCGTGATAGCAGTACGTATTAATATCCGTTAATGAAAGTATCATTTGTTGCCGGTGTCTAACGTGATGATGATCAGCTAAAAACCGGACCAACCGCCGCCATTTGGTCTTGTAGAGAAGATCTGGTAGCAGTATTTGTCGGAAATGCACCGTTAATTCGACCTCTTTTTAGCAGAAAGTTGTGGCTTGGGGGCTACAAGAATAGCAGAACACCTGTTGGTTATCCATCTGGGGAGTCTGTTGAACTCTCCGGAAAATTTGGCTCTGATCGAGGCAATAAACGGAGTAGTCGGTTGTTTTATTCGAAGGATACGAAAACGACCAACGTGGAGTCAGACAGCATGGAAAGAATCATGGAAAATGGCAGGGACGGCGAGTTACCTCCCATGGTAATTCAGGTGCGGAAGGACGTGCACGTTGAAGGTGTCGAAGACAATTCTGGTGGAGGTAAGACGGCATGGCAGCAAGCATATCGCAATACATTCAGGAATCCTTAGGTCCACAAATGACTAGTACGCTCGAGATCGACCTTCCGTGGGTTGCTTCCGCCATTGTACCAGAAACCAGCACCGCACCCAGTCGGCCATGATGCCTTCGATGCATGTCAATCATGCGTTTGGCATTCTTCAGGGAATGAATTATTAGAAGGTTTATCGCAACATTATGTCTCTTGGGCGGGATAGATTTGAAAAGCTTAGATGTGGTATCTATTTGGTACCGTTTTATCTGCTTGTTACTTTTGCGGTCGTTGGAACTCTCCAGATTTGCAAGAAAAAACATAACAATATTTACAACAAATATACATGCAATTTAGAAGACCCTGGAGGTCTGACATTACCATTGACCATCACTTTCAGTTTGTGGACAATTACGCACCCATGTTTTTTCGATTGGACTAATTATTCTCACGATAAGAAAAAAAAAAAAAAACCAACAAACCACGAGTATGGGATACATCACATTTCGGGCACATTCGACCATAATACGGATTCCAGGGGAATTTCCCTGGTTTTCAGATTTTCCAAGAAATCGCCAGAAGAACGGCACAGATCAAGGGCCTAAGAGTAGATAGCGCTTTATTAGCCTGGCCGGGCTAGTTGTAGCAGTGGAGCCCAAGATACGCAAGCAAATGTAGTAAGTATATTTCTGCAATGTGAAGAATACGAAGAATCAATAATTTGACCCCGTCGATCGCCAGACATTCTGGATGGATAGACGTAATCCGGGGGAAAAAAGAAAATACTCTCTTATTTTGCAAAGTCAGGGGAGTAACTAGCCAAAAATTACAATGAATAATTATCTACATTGACAACTTCTATATCACCAAAGCGCTTCTAGTGTGTGATGCGACTTACTTCCTCTCCCTCCATATATATATATATATATATATATATAGCCGATGACAGCATTGAACATGACATATAAAATAGGGACAAAGCTTGTGTGTTGTGTGGCTCCCAAAACTAAGCATCGAACGGGACAGACTGTTAGATTCGCCCGCGGAAGTAACGCCCAGGCGAGATGTTATTAGCTGCAGATTATATAGATAACCGGTCGAGGCCAGCCGACATCCGCTATCGCGCTAGCAAACCGTTTTTGGCTTATCCCGAACTCTTTCGGAGCAAAGTCACTCGGAAGGTTTCGTCGCTTTCCTCCTCTCTTGCTCGTCCGCTTCAGCCTTGAGGAACTTAACGTTGTAAACTACCAACCGCCGCACCAATGCCGCGGGAAGAATATCCATTGCCAGTTTCTGCATGCGGTGACGCCAATACGGGGTGACTGAAACGCAGCCACAGCCAACCCGTCTCAGCGAAGAGCGTGCGATCTTGTCTGGCGTCGGGACGAAAAACCCGCGCCCCAGAGGATTTCCTGCGGTTTGCACGCTGGCAAGAACCATGGACATCACATCGATCTTTTTACCCTCCGCTTTCATTTCCATGTTCAATCCATTCGTGAACGATTGGATGTACGCCTTTGTGCCGGCATAGACGGTCAGATAGGGCATTCCCACAGAGGTTACGGAGGAGATGTTTATGATGAGCGCTGGGGTATGGCGCTCGAGGAGTGGAAGAAGGACGCGAGTGAGTTGCGTCATGAATCGCATGTTGACGTTGATTATGCGGTCCGCCTCATCGTTCGTGTGGCCCTTGAGAGTTGTATACTGCGAACGGATCTGGCCACCGGTGCCCCCGACGTTGTTCACGAGGACTGAGAGAGGGATGTCGTTGAGCGTTCTGGTAACGGCCTCTTCGAGGGAGTGGGTGGGCTGTGAAGCGTCGAAGATGAACTGGCGGAATTTGGCGAGCGGGAATTCACGCCTCAGACTGGCCTCGACGTTTGATAGCTTCTCCGGGTTTCGGCCGTGGAGGACGATGTTGAAGCCGTATCTGCACAGCTCCCGGGCGAATTCGGTTCCTGTGCCTTCCGTGGAGCCTGTGACGAGGGCATACGAGCCTTTGGTTTTATCGAGATATGTCGGTAGACTGGAGGGATGGAGGAACAAGGTGTAGATATGTTGGCAGGCTATGAAGAGGAGGTGCAACAGTGCGAGAGCACCGACGGCGGTAAAAACGGATAGTACTATCTTTGTGGAGTCCATGGTGTTGAGCAAATATCGTACATGTATATGGTTGGTTAGTCAACTCTACACTTTTGGCTGATGTGATTAATCGCAGCAGCTTGTAACGAGGGACGGCGACGATAGAATATATAGATCCTACGCGACAACGAGGCGGGGGTCGTTGCCGAACGGACGGCAGCATCAAACCCAGGGAAGAGACTTCCAACAGTCTAAGGACACAATAACTATTACAGCAGTCACAATTGTTCGATTTTAGGATTCTTCCCGAGACGTCGCTGACATGGGACGGGAGGAGAGACCTCCGCTTCGCAAGGTGTGAGAGGGTGGCTGTGGTGATCGATGCGGAGTAAACATTCTACTGATAATCGCCCAGGGCACTCGATTCAGCTTCTGCAGCAAGCAGCAAGAAAGGATAATCCAAGAAGTGGACGTTGTATTGAGTTTCGATTGTTTTATTTGCCCTTTCAGAGCGCCATGGCGCTCGTCCTAAGCCGCTGTCCTCGCCATCCATAGAGAAGAAGTACCCAGAGTTTGTTGTTTACGACGACGGCATTTTGGTTGGAACTGTGTGTTGTGTGGCATCCCCGATTCCTCAACAAAAGGCAGCACACACAGCACACACAGCACACACAGTAGATGATGGATACATAAAAAGGGTCTGTCCTTGTTCCATAATTTGCTTCACACATTGCAACAAGTGGTTATTCGATTTACTGGCGATGAGGTTCAAATAGCAAAGGGGAGGAGGCTACATCAGTTCTCAGCTTCAACGGCCGACTTTGTCTTGCCATTCAGATTGCAATTGGAGCAACTACTCTGTAACTAGCTAGCAACCGGGGCAGGTGGTTCAAATTCCTCGAGGATATGGACATTTATTCTCTCACGATGGCATTATTTTTCTGAACGGGTTGCATACCGAATTGTCACCTATAAGAAGAACCCGGGGGCCGTAGGACTTGGATTCCACCGTCAGTTGGATAATAAACACCAGGGATCCACCTCGTCCCCGAAGAATTGAAATAATACGGATCTCATCTCACGCTCCTGCTTCCTGCTCGCACCATAATCTGCAGTCTCTATTCTCCAACCCTGAATCTTTGATCTCGATGATCCATGTGACTTGTCCGATGAAGATGCAGCTCTAGTCCACTAGATCGTGGGCTAAAAGCCTGGAATCGGATTGATGCAAGGAGGCATTCCCCCATCACCGTCTGGCCGGAACTCGGGAGATCTGTTCACGCTCAGCCCAATCATCAGTCATGACTTCAGCGACAGAAAACCAAGCAGCAGTGGGTCCACAGAGAGTACGCAGTGGAGTCGGAATTCTTCATCCATCTACGGACATAACAACTCCGGGAGAGGCTTGAGTCGTAGAATTGCTATACATACATACGTACATACATACATACATATACATATATATATAAATGTAGACAAAGGTGAATAAATAACATCAAGTCTCAATGTCAACAGCGCGAGATGGAGAATACAACAACGGCTTTACTTCGCAGTGTGTGTTTGCGGATATTACCAGGCCATTGCGAAGCACCGCGGTGGGCGGTGGGCGGTGGGCGGTGGGGCGCTCATTAACAAGTGTTAGGAACCAGTAACCAACGGGACGTGGTTGACAAAGCCCCTCAGACGAGTTGACCAACCAACCACCCCAACCACCAACCCACTGGTCAACTGGTTAACAGGTTGACTGGCCCACTGGTTAACTGGTCAACTGGTCGACTGGTCAACTTATCAACTGGTTAATCTGCTTGGTAATTCTTGCGTCAGAATCGCGGAATTGTCTGCTGCGCCTGGCTTCGGGCCCGCGCGGCGGTTGTCTGGCTGTCGAGAAGGGCGAGGGGGCGGGCGGCGTTGGGGTCACGTCATCGGCTGCGAAAACCAAGCAGCGGACTATATAATCCCGGGCACCCCGCGCCCCCCCAGACAGGAAACACAACACCCAATTCCACAATTCCACAATTCCACAGTTCCCAACGGTTCGAAAATTCCATCTTCGAGTAGTTCATCCACTTCTCCCTTTCCATCCTCCGCAGCTGTCAGCACCCAATTGGCCTGAATCATCACCATGGCGCCAAAGATCGCAATTGTTTTTGTACGTCCGCTTCCCCTCCCAGTTGTTTGCTTGGATCTTCATCCCCGCTTCTAAACATGATGTGTCTGTCCAGTACTCGTTGTATGGCCATATCCAGAAGCTGGCCGAGGCTGAGAAAAAGGGCATCGAGGCTGCTGGAGGCACAGCAGATATCTACCAGTATGTCACCCTGCTCGGAAACAATTTCGCAATCAAACCTCCCCCCCGTGATCCCGCCGATCCCCGTCATCTCCATCCGTAATGGTGGCTGACGTATCTGTGTCACCCCCAGAATCGCTGAAACCCTGCCACAAGAGGTTCTCGACAAGATGCATGCCCCCGGCAAATCATCCTATCCCGTTGCTGAGCCAGCCACGCTGCTGAACTACGACGCATTTCTGTTTGGTATTCCAACCCGTTACGGTAACTTCCCTGGCCAATGGAAGGCGTTCTGGGATAAGACCGGAGGCATCTGGTCGACGGGCGGCTTCTGGGGTAAATACGCGGGTCTCTTTGTCTCCACCGGCACGCCCGGCGGCGGACAGGAGTCTACCAACATCGCTGCGATGAGCACCCTCGCCCACCATGGCATCATCTACGTTCCATTGGGGTACAAGACCACGTTCCCGATCCTGGCCAACCTCAATGAAGTGAGGGGTGGCAGTCCCTGGGGAGCTGGAACCTATGCTGTATGTCTCTTTTTCCCTCCCATTGGGGGATACTATGTTCCAAGAAACGTGTTGTTGTTTTGAGGGAGAACTTGCTAACAGAGTGTAATTTCGTTGATTTCTCTAAGGGTGCTGACGGGTCGCGCCAGCCATCTGCCCTAGAGCTCCAGCTTGCTGAAGAACAGGGCAAGGCGTTCTACGGAGCCGTTTCCAAAGTTAATTTTGAATGACTCGAAGAGCCGTCGTCCGTCTCCAATGGTCCTGGGAATGTAGCTCAAACTAGCCGGCAAAAGGATACGCGTTCGTCTGCGCAACAGCCCGCCAACAGTGCCGAGCAGGGTGACAGGTCTGGGCCCTGCGGGTTGCCAAAGTGTAACATAGTTTGAGGTAACATGTTTCTCCTTAGAAGAAGGTCTTTATTCTATTAGGAAAAGGAGAATGTTGGGTGTTTGTTTTCATTTCTTGTGTGGAAAACTCCCTTTTGCTATGAGGACGTAGTTAAGGCTATGAGAAATGAATCCCAATAACGAGCAATAAATGGTCCCGTACCCTATGTAGTTACGTAACTATTCTTCCATTAAGCATGACTTACATTACTTGCATGTCCAGGGGTGTGGGAGGGGACTTGCATCCACAGAATCAGTTCGTTCCAGCCGTTTAATCAACCAGTCATGTGACACAGTGCTCCCCTTTAAGAGGCCCAATTGACGTAACTAACTAACTATTCTGGCATCGAAGGATTGGCAAACCTCAAGCTCCAACTAATCCCACAACTCTCCGTCAACTTCGACCAGCTTCTTCTCAACTTCAGGCAACCTGCCCTCTGACAAATCCTCGTAAACTCTACTATTGTTCTCTTCTTTTGTCTTCGCCATGGTCTGAGTTTTCACCCCAAGGGAAAATTTTTTTTTGTTTTTTTTTTCACCCTTTTTTTTTTTTTTAGAAAAACCCCCCCCCCCCCCCCCCCCCCCCCCCCCCCCGGGCCCCGGCCCACCATACCCAGATACATCCAAATCTATCATGGCCTCGTCAAGGCCCATATTACTCCGGTTTGAGAGTCGAAACGGCCAGTTCAGGTTAACTGTGAATCCGACAGACGAATTCCCGTCACTTCTGCCCAAGGTCAGCCTCGGGTATTGGACATTGGTGGTGCTCTCCTGAATCTAACCCGTTTTGCATTTCCCCCCCTTAGGTTCTCGAGAACTTGCCAAAGAATGCTGCTCCCTCGTCTGTTGTACTTTCAAACAAAGCTATAGGGACTGGAGGCCAGGAGAGAAATATTTCATTGTTGAAAGGAATTACTATCCAGCGGGTTGGGTTGTCGTAAGTGAGCTCCTACCGTGTGTGTTTCGTTCGCTTGGATTATGCCATAGTAGCTCACCAACCCAGTCATGGAGACAAGCTTTTTGTTGGCTATGATGAAGAAACTAGTCGATCAAATGGTAGCGCAAATGGGATCCCTTCAACTACCTCCCAACTCCATGATGCACCACGCCGTCTAGATGGCGTCGCAGTGCCACAACAAGAGCAGCGTCCCTCTCTTCCCGTCCAGATCTCCTCATCACCTGCAGCGCTCATCAAGAACCCGTGGGAGGTTGTCACGCAGTCACCGCTCGATGATCGATTGGATCGACAGGATGGAAAGATAAGCCGTAGCCTGGATCATAAAATGTGCCGCCATGGACCCAGAGGCATGTGTGACTACTGTATGCCCCTCGAACCGTATGCACCCGAGTATCTTGCGGAGAAGAAGATAAAACACCTGTCATTTCATTCATATCTTCGGAAAATAAACTCGTCCACGAACAAGCCGGAACTGAAAAGCTCTTACATACCACCCCTCTCGGAACCCGACTATAGAGTCAAACGAGATTGTCCTTCTGGTCATCCGGCTTGGCCTGAGGGAATTTGCACCAAGTGCCAGCCTAGCGCAATTACACTGCAGCCACAACCCTTCCGAATGGTTGACCATGTCGAGTTTTCTTCTCCCGACCTCATCAATTCATTGTTGGATTTCTGGCGGAAATCTGGAGCTCAAAGACTTGGCTTTTTATATGGGACATACGAAGAGTATACCGAGGTTCCGCTTGGGATAAAGGCAGTCGTGCAGGCAATCTATGAACCGCCGCAGGTTGGTGAAGTGGATGGGGTCACGCTTCACGAGTGGAGCAACGAAAAGGATATTGACGAGGTGGCCAGGTTATGCGCGTTGGAGAAAGTTGGTGTTATTTTCACCGACCTGCTGGACTCGGGCGCGGGGGATG